AAAAAAATCCACAAAAGTAAGGCATTGCTTGTCTAGTATGCACAAAGTTCTGAAATCAGCTGGGGTGCAAACCTTTAATCCCAGTGCTTGGGAAGCAGAGGCAGGGATCTCTCAGTTTGAGGCCAGCCTGATCTACATAGCAAGTTCCAGGACAGCCAAGGCTACACAGGGAAACTTTCAGAAAACAAAGACAAAGTCTTAGGTTCGATCCCTAGTACTTTAGAAGTAGCAGGGAGATCAGAAATTCAAGTCTTTCTCCCCTATAGAGGGAGGTGGGGCCAGCCTGAGGTATATGAGATCCTGTCTCAGAAAACAAATCAATAAAAATATGCAGTAACAAAAATATGGCCAGGTGGTGGTAACACACACCTTTGATCCTAGCACTCGGGAGGCAGAGGCAGGTGGATCTCTGTGAGTCTGAGGACAGCCTGATCTACAGCATGAGTTCCAGGACAGGCTCCAAAGCTAAACAGAGAAGCCCTGTCTTGCAAAAACAAAACAAACAAACAAAAAAGTGTAGTGTTTTATTTTGGTGTTTTTGTTTGGGTGCTTTTTATTTCTTTGTTTTTACTGTGCTGGAGTATAGCATATTCCTTAACAGTCTGCATTTCAAGAACACACACACACACACACACACACACACACACACACACACACATATATGCTGATTACAGCAGTGAGAACTAGGAAGGATGGTGAGGGGAGAGACTGAGTGATGAAGGGCTTTTTCTGTGCTGCTTGAATTTTTTAAATGAGAATTAAATTGAATCACACTGAATAGTTAAGTTTGAAAATTAAAAGCCTGTCATATCAGAGGTGATACTAGAAAAGTAAGTGTCATTTGTTGAATATATATGTCTTTTACTTTGCCATATTCTCTAGGAAACTCTCATCTGTAATTATATCCTGTGAGTTCAGTTAAATGCCCAACTGTAGTCTATTTCAGTTTAGCAATACCTGGGGATGGATGAGTCGGAGGTCTGCAGATTCTCTCGCTTCTCCTTAAGAAATTACAGGAAACTGGAGTAGTTGGTAGCTTACCACCACGACATCTCTTATAAGGGAAATACTACCGTGGATAACTTAAACTGTTAGTTTTAGAATCAGTGTTTATGCTTCTCTTCGATATGGATGTACTTGGTACAGATAAGTCAAGAAGCTTTTGAGAAGCCCAGTTTGAGAATACCTAGAATCCAGGCATGGCAGAGCACACAGATAATCTCAGCTACTTGAGAGACTGAGGTGGCACAGTCACTTGAGCCCAGGAGTGCAAAGATGCCCTGTCCCTTATAAGGAAAAGAAAACACCTTGCTCATCTGTTCCTGTCACAGTGTCCTTTTGCCCTCGATAATGTCAGTCAGTTTCCAAGATGACAGTGAAACAGGCAAAGGACCTTGTCAGTTACCATCTCCACCTAAAGTTGTCTGTCAAGAGCTTATGTAATAATGAGCTGCATTGTGACATTGGTGTAGAGTTTGGACTGATTATAGATCTAGAGAGAAGTTATGGGTCAGTCTGGACAGAAACTTTAATCAGAACAGAGAGCTAAAATGAGACAGTGTTGTTCTCTTGATAATCAGAGGCTGACAACAAACTTCAGAATCTGGCCCTTCTCTGAAGTGCCAAGAGTCACATGTAACTATATAGCATTGAGTTTTCCAGGAGGAGCAGATCCGTCTGGGGAGGTGCAGCCATCCCCTTTAACTTTCTTCAGTGCCATTTGATGGGGAACTGCCAACATTATTGCATTAAATTCCAGGGATGCAGTTGGAGTTCACTTCAGCACATTTGATGGACATCTGCTCACCAAATGAAAGATGTGCAAAACTTAATCTTTGCTGTCAGGGGGCTCATGTTGGGAAAAGAAGACAGACACATGTATATTTCCAATATAACACAATATATCTCAGAGGAAGATCTGGAAAAGTTCTGGAGGGGACACCAGCGGCAAAGGAGAGGAAGGGAATCAACAAAGAGCCTCTAGCAGCAATTAGCTCATGTGTGGTGGACAAGGAGACTAGATGCCAAGTCAGAATGCATAGTGGAGAAATGGGTCTGGCAAGTTCTTTTTTAAAAACCTGCACTAAAGGAAATGGATACTTACTCATTTTTTTTTGGTTTTTTGACACAGGGTTTCTCTGTATTGTTTTGGAGGCTGTCCTGGAACTTGCTCTGTAGACCAGGCTGGCCTCGAACTCACAGAGATCCGCCTGCCTCTGCCTCCCGAGTGCTGGGGTTAAAGGCGTGCACCACCAACACCCATCTTACTTACTCATTTTAAGTCACAGCATGCATAAAGGTCACATTTGCTTTTGAGATTGTTTTAACAACAGTGTGTATAGCAGAAGCATGAGAGAGTAATTAAGATAGTTCTAATTCTGCTTGTAATACCATTGGTGTATTGATTCGAACAGTGTTAGGTATGGAAGCAGAAGTGGTGGTAGATATGGTCATTCAGTAAAGTACCATTTCAACCATTGTGACATACTGGGGACCTAAAGCTATTCCTTATAGTGTATAGCCACTATAAGCATGGGAAATGGCATGTCCTCTCATAGACAAAACATGAGGTTGGTTGTGAAACAAAAACTAGAGACAGTTTTCTGACAGCCTGGACTGGTCCTTGTTTTTGCCCATCTCTGCACACAATAGGTGCATTCTGAGTAGGAGAGAGACTTGTCATTAGACAATAAAGTCACCAGTGCATTTACTAGCTGCTGGTAATGAGCTGAATTAAAGAGATCATGCCAACTGTTATTTGGCAGTGGGTTGAGGAGGAGCAAGAGTGGAACAGAGCCTTCAAGGGGAAGAGATAATGACAGTGAAGATGAAGATCTGAGGTGCAAAAATTGAAAGCATACTGATACACTTATGAAAAGGTTGGGGAAGGTGAGATTACTTGAGATGAACTTAAGTTCTGATCAGGGCCTTGGTATAGAGAGTGAAGAAGGAGAGGACTAGTCTAGGCAGGGTGAAGGTAGAGTTTGGGTCAAGCTGAGTCTGGCGATTATGATGGAGACATTGAAAGGGCAATTTGGTATTTTTGAGGTAGATAGAACAAATAAAATAAATAGTAAAGATTAGTTTGTTGCCAGGCAGTGGTGGCTTATGGTTTTAATCCTAGCACTTGGGAGGCAGAGGCAGGTGGATCTCTGTGAGTTTGAGACCAGCCTAGTCTACACAGTGAGTGCCAGGAAAGCCAGGACTGTTTCACAGAGAAACCCTGTCTCAACAACAACAACAACAAAAAAATGTTTGTGCATTGTGGCGTGCCTATAATCGTAGCACTAGGGAGAGTTAAGCAGGAGGATTGTAAATTCTTTGTTGTTGTTTTGGTTTTTTGAGACAGGGTTTCTCTGTAGCTTTGGAGGCTGTCCTGGAAATCAGTAGACCAGGCTGGCCTTGAACTCACAGAGATCTGCCTGTCTCTGTCTCCTGAGTTCTGGGTTTAAAGACTTACGCCACCATCGCCCAGGAAGGATTGCGAATTCTTGACCAGTTTGGGCTACATAGGGAGACACTATTTTTTAAAACATACTTTTCATCCTTTGAAATTATAACATAATTCCTCTTTTTTCCCCATCAATCTCTCAATCTCTTCTATACATGGGCTCCTGCTCTCAAATTCATGGCTTCTTTGTCTTTAATTATTGCTAGGGTGTGTGTGTGTGTGTGTGTGTGTGTTCCTAAATACATAAATACAACCTGCTCAGTACATATAATGTTATCTGCATATGTGTGTGATCTCAGGGTGGTTCACTTGGTATTGTATGAAGTTCTTCCCAGGGAAAGATTATTTTTCCTACTCTCAGCATTCCCCAGTTGCCCATAGGTCTCTGTCTAGGGTTGAGACTCCCCACTCCCTGTTGGTATGATCATTGTTGTGTGCAGATCTTGTTTAGGCATTCATGTTGATGATACTTAAGGGATGTAGCCTTTCTGACATTTCTAGGAGAAACTTCCTGTTCCTTTGACTCATATAATTTTCCTAGCCCCTCTTCTGAAATGAGCCCTGAGCCTTAGGTATAAGAATTGTGTTGCAGCTGTATCACTTGGAAATGGGCATCACATAATGTCTTGTTCTCTACAGTTTGATTAGTTACCTTTACACAAACACACACACACACACAAACACACTCACACACAAAATGGTCTCCATCAGTTTCAAAGAAAAGTTTCTTTGATGAGGAGTGAGGGGTACACTTACTTGTGGGAATAGGAAAAATATTTAGAATGTAGTTAGGGATTATGCTGGTTTAGTAAAGTGGCAATTGTAGGTTCTCCTCCAAGATCAATGGCTTCATTAGCGCCAGATAGTTGGCCAGGTTTTCAGGACCAGGCATGATTTTTTTCTTTGGTTGAGCAGGCCTTAAGATCATTTGAAGGCTATTGGTGTACATGCCACTGTTGAACCTTTAGGGCTATTGTGCCATGCTAGTCATTGTTGTGGGTCATATGGGGAGACATTATCACTAAACAAACAAACAAAACAGAGATGCTCAGGACATAAAGGTGCTTGTTTAACAACCTGAGTTTAATCTGGAACCCACATCAAGGTGGAATGAGAGAACTGACTTCTAAAAGCGGTCTTTTCACCTCATCATGAACATTGTTGTATGCTTTTTATCATTCACACATACACGTTATGCACACAGTAATTTAAAAAAAACCTCAATCTGTTTAAAAAGAAAGTAGTGAAGATTAAACAGATTTTAATGCCACTTTAGAAACTGTCCAATTTTTCATGTGTTACTAGAGCCCCTACTTTTTTAACTACAACCTGACCTTTATTGAATGGATGTTCAACTCCTTGTGTTAGAAGTACCTTTTACTTTTTTTCACTTAACTTTGAAAGAACCCCTGAGTAAGAGGTTTTCAGAGTTAGACCACTGTACACAAACTCTAAACGAAAGAGTGAATTCAAATGAAATTGCCTCCTCAGCTGATTCTCTGGGCAGCTTACATTGTCTGCGTGGTTCATTTTCACTTTTTTTTTTCAGGGTTTTGGCTTTTTGCACTGAATGTAACCTAGACTGATCGTCTCAGGCTTGTGTTGCCCCAGGATACTGTCAAAGGTAATAAGTTTTTTTTTTTCAATCATCAGCAGTAAATCAAGGGTCTTCATTTTAAAAAAGAAGGAAAGTTTATGGGAAGGCTTCTTTCTTGCATTCCTTTAAAAAAAAAGATTTATTTAGGGGCTGGAGAGATGGTTCAACATTTAAGAGCACTGGCTGCTCTTTCAGAAGACCTGGCTTCAATTCCTTGTACCTACAGTGTGGCCCACAACTGTCTGTAACTCTAATTCCAGGGAACTTGATTCCCTCTTCTGATCTCCTTTGGCACTAGGCACACATGTGGTACAGAAATGAGTATGTAGGCAAACACTCTTACGGATGGATGGGTGTTTTAAAAATAAAGGAATTGTGTAATTTGGGATTTCATTTCTTTTGAAAAAAGACTTATGTTTTGTCTGATGAGGGAGGTCAACACAATATAGAAATTAATATATTTGTTTACCAGAGAAAGGACTTACACACAAGCTGGATGATCAGAAGTGTGGCAGGCTTCCGAAGAGAGAGTACGTTTACTTTTCGTTTCCTTAAATATCTCACCTGTGCCCATCTCCCTGTCCCCAACCTTTTGGGTGTGGACAGTGTTGTGGGCTCACCCCCTACAATTCCCCTTTTAGTCTAAATAGAAGATTTAAATTTGATACAACTTTCAAACTATACAACATATATACATAGAAGGTGATAAGTAAGTTATAATCTGCTTATATCCTAAGCTAAACATATCTATCCTATCTAAATTCTAAACTTATCTGAAAGGGATGCCCAAGTCTGAACACCTCCTTCCAATCCCAACCCTAAAATAATTGAAAACTAACATAAATAGGTGTAAACTATCCTGTAATATCAACAGTAGGGAAAGAGGGCATGGAATTCTCAAAATTACTTCCTGCTGAAATGGGACAATGACACTCTCGTGGGGACCTGTGGGAAGAAAATGTTAGTGTAACAAAAGTCTTAAGTAGGTTAGATAGTCTGTTTGGCAGGGGATGCTTGATTGAAGTTCTTGACTGAAGTTTTACTGGTGATTAAAGCACTTGTCTGAAGCTCTGGCCAGATTGTAGAAGGTGCACTGTATCAGTTCCTTGTTCTGGAGTTGTGTTGAGTGATGTAGTCCCAAACTGGTTTCAGGATGGTACTTGTCCGGTAGAGTCGATGAAGTAGGGCCCCATTTTCTTTCTGAAGTGTTTGAAGATTGCTATCGGGAAAGTCCTTGTTCTCTGGAAAACGCAAACATTAATGTTAACAAAGAAATTTTTAACTTTTATAGGTATGCATACTGGGAAAGGCAACAATAAGGAAGAGAGTAAACATGAAGGAGATTAGACTTTCAGAAAAGGAACCAAGTATACACAGATGACAGTCCCTAATTTTGTTTTCTTCTGTCTTATATTAATGGCTCTTTGATATGATACAGAAACTCTGAATTTTATGTTAACAATACGTTTGGATTTGAAGTAGGAGAGCCAGTCCAACTCCAAAGCCAGCTTCAGTTAAATGAATTGGGACTAAAGCATATTAAAAAGCAAAGAGAAATAGATATTATAATAACAAGATAGAGAGATTCAGACATTGATACCACACATTGTATTATTATATGTTTGATGGTCCTCTGGGTAGCTATTCTTTCTTCTTCAGGTACTTTTTTGCTGTTTGTAGCTGAGTTTTCCTGTAAAGACAAAAACAAAACACTTCTCTTTCCTTTTATGAGGTTTCCTTACATATAGTAAAATATGGCCTTTTAGATGAGCTGTTATCTTTCCTCCTCCTGAGGTTCAAATCTTGATTAATTTTGATGGAACTCAAAGTTTTTCTTCTCCTGTGGAAACAAAGGCAAAACCCCTTCCCTAGTATAACACATATCCTGTTTTCCAGACTGAGGTCATAACATACACCGGTTGGTTCAGCTCAGAAGTTTTCTCTGTAGTCCAGTGTCTTTCTGCAGCTGTTTGTCTTTTCTCATTAGCATTAAGAAAGTTAAGCATTAGCAAAGCATTATGTAATCTGTGTTTGGGGGTCTTTGTTGTTTATGAAGCATTTCTTTTAAGGTGCGGTTAGATCTCTCAACCACTGTTTGCCTGCATTTATGTCTATGCCCATGTATGTATGCTCATGGGGGCTATCTAATCCTCTGTAACTGGAGGTACAGATGGCTGCCAGCTGCCATGTGGGTGCTGAAGACCAAACCTGTGTCCTCTATAAGAGCAAAAAATGCTATTAACTACTGAGCCATCTCTCCAGCTCAATATTTTCTGCATCCTTTTAGAGAGGCAAAATATGTCCATAGTATCAGCTTTTTGCATTCTTGTTGTAGCTATTTCCTTTAAAATGCACTGGTATTGAGACTGGGGATATAGCTCAGTTGTAGAGTGCTTGCCTACAATGCCTGATGTCTGGGTTGGTCCCCAACACCACATATGCATACACTCAGAAAATGCACTGGCATTCATATTGATAATGAGATTGATTCTTTGTTCCATACTAAGAAGTTAGTTGTTAGGATTAGCAATTACAGATTTAAGTGGGCAGTCTTTTCTGCTCTAGCCCACATTTGCTTTCTAAAGGAGATTTAACAAGTCGCTGTTCTTCTGTGGCATCTTGGGGCCTATAGACCCCTTCAAAACTTAATTTCAGTCTTGTTGAGTCTGCATTGTTTAATAGAGAATCCATATCTGTAAGTTTTGAGTTGTCTTACTTGGTGGTGCTGACATCAATCCCAAGGCTTTGCATATGCTAGGCAAATTCTGACCCCTGTTGTCCCTATTCTTCTGTTTATTGTTTCCTAGATAAACTGTGGCTCTTTTTTGTGGTTTTGTGTCTTGGTTGCTGATTTTTTTTTCCTTCTTTCAGCATTTAGAAGAGGAAGGAGACACGGTTGCTTTACCTCTCCTGCTGTCCTTTCTTTCTGAGTTGAAAAAGCCTGTTGTTATTGCACTAGTAGTTATCCATTGTTTTACATTGATGTTATTCAGCATCTATAGTCTTGCCTATAAACTTATTAAAGATTTTGAAGGTTTTTTAAAACAGATATATAAAAATAGAAAAATCTATTTTGATGGCGCATGCCTTTAGTCCCAACACTCAGGAGGCAGAGGCAGGTAGCTCTACAGGAGTTCGAGGCCAGCCTGGTCTACAAAGCGAGTTCCAGGACAGCTAGGACTGTTACATGGAGAAACTCTGTCTCTCAAAACAAAACAAAACAAAAAAAGAAAAGAAAAACCATGCATACACAGTCTGGCATATTGGTGAAGCAGGAAAGAGATCACTATGCTTGGAACAAAGCAAGTGGGAAAGGCTGGAAAGAGAGGAGGCTAGAGCCTAGAAGGCTTTGAAAGCTCTAGCATGCTTACCTATTCTTATAGAAGACATTCACACAGTGTGTATGACATTACTTACATGGTAATTAACAGTTACTAAGTTACTGTCCTGTGAGTGCTGAGCACAGTGCCAGTTCAAGACTATCCATCATTTAAATGTATGATAAAATGATGGAATGTTCTGAAACACATGGAACAAACACCACACTTCTTGGGACAGCTTTGCTACCTCTGGTTACTCTTTCCAGTGAATTTTTATGCTGACTTGTCAACACTTTTCTAACGCTAACACCTTAAACAGCCTTCAGTAGTCCCCAAGTGATATCCCTAATTCACTATGGATTTAAGTATTGCCTATTTTATGTTTCTCTTTTGTCAAAATGATGGTAGAACTGACTTGGATGCTTAAAATGATTATAAGTTGTGGGTGAGATGTGAGGAGGAAGGGCAGGGATATTGGAAGGAAAGGATGTGGGTAAATGCAAGGGATTTCTAGTGAGGTATTGTTAGTTTTCTGTCACCATACAAATACATAAGGTAATTGACATATAAAGAAAAAAGATTTGGTTTTGATGCAGGGTTTTTGAGGTTTTAGCCCATGACTTGTAAGGCAGACTATATTATGGTGCTATCTTATGTCAGAACAAAACTGTTTACTTTATGTTAATAAAAGGAAGAGATGAGCATCCCCCATTCTGCTCCAAGAACATGTTTTCAAAGACCCAAAGATTTCTAGACTCAAAAACCTTCCAGGTCAGTCTCTGGGAACCAGGCTGTTCCTACACAGACTCCTGGAGACATGTAAGATCCAAACTATAGCAGGTATGACCTGGGGATGTACAGAGAGATAGGGTGTTATGTGTACAGAATAGGGAAATTTGCTGTGTGATTGCAGGAAAAGACATGTATGGGAAGAAACAAGATAAATGGAGAGTTTGGGAAGGAAAGGTTTGCTACTAGTACCATGGGAATAGGAATGTGGGGTAGGGCAGGCTGTTACAGAATTGTAGCACATATAATAAAAACCCAGAAACAGGAGCCTGGCAGTGGTGGTGCATGCCTTTAATCCCAACATTCGGGAGGCAAAGGCAAATGGATCTCTGTGAGTTCAGGCCAGCCTGGTCTACAGAGCACGTTCCAGGACAGGCTCTAAAGCTGCCGAGAAACTCTGTTTCAAAAACCAAAAAATAATTAAAAATAAAAAAAATCCTAGAACCTTCATCCTGTGACTGATGGAAGTAGAGACAGATATTCACAGCTAAACACTGAACTGACCCCCTGGAACCCAGTGACAGAGATAGAGGAGTGATGAACAAGGTGGTCAAGACCGTGATGGTGAAACCCACAAAGACAGCAGACTGGACAAGGGAGAGCTCTTGAACCCCAGACTGATGACTAAGAGGCCAACAAGGGACTGATCCAGACTCCATGAATGTAGTGTCAGTGAGGAGGCCTCAGAAATCTCTGGGGCCTTGGGTAGTAGACTAGTGTTCACCATGGCATACAAATGAACTTTGGGAGCCCATTCCACATGGAGGTATGCTCTCTTAGCCTGGATATATGGAGAAGGGCCTAGGTCCTGCCCTGGATGAAATGACAGACTCTGGAGATCCCCCCAAGGAGGGCCTCACCCTCCCTGGAGAATGATGTGGGGATTGGGCTGGGGTGGGGGGTTGGGAGTGGGGCTGG